AAGTTAAGGGAAAAAATAATCAAGGTGAAGAGGAGTACTTAACTAACAAAACTAAAGCAATGTGGGAAATTCCATTTTTCTTAGTTGTAGCCTCAAGGATTATAGTTATTTCTTATGTTAAGGAGGATGGTCTCAATTATTGTGATTAAAAGAAGAGATTGATCATGAAAAAGATGTTTTTGTTTGGGCTTTGCACATGCTGAAGAAATGAAGTTAAAAGATCAAGTTGTGTCATGTTGTGATAGTATTGAAATTTATTATGTAAGTCTTGATTTAGGCATTAAGGATAGGTTTAGGATGAGCTAAGTTATTTTTCCTAATCTCTAAGGTAACTAAAATTGACTAAGAATTTTCACAAAAATTTAAAATTCACAAAGATGTAAACAAAATGGAGTAAATAATGCCTAAATAGTTGAATTTTTTTTTTACTCTAATATAATCGATTATAGAGTAGCGTAACTGATTACAATTAACATTTGGTTTTTCATCATGCTTAAAATATTCTCAAGTAACCAATAATAGAATGACATAATTGATTACAATCATGCTATGGGGTAATCGATTACATGAAAGGTTATGAAGATCTATTGTTGAGTTATTAAGTTGTGCTCGATTAGGTTTTTTACAATGATGAATCATATTTTCTTAAACTTGATCATGTTACTAATGTAACCAATTACAATATGTTCATCATCAATTACATGTTCAATAAGAGTAAGACTTTGGAACAAAAGTTTTGTTTTAGTCAATTACATGAATATGTATCTGATTACATCAGTTGTAATCAGTCAAAGTTTGTTTCTAGATAGCAATAAAATCAAAGTAATCAATAATATGATTAAAGTAATCAATTATATTAGCATGAAAAATTTTCTATATAAACTTATACTGTTGGAGTTCAAGTGTGAAGTGAAGTCCCACATTGGTTAGAGTTGGACATGTTGAGTAATATATAAGTGAGAAAGAACTACTTACCTAATGTCACTTCAAGAAATTTTGAAATTACAGATGACCAAAATCCGTGGGTAATCCAAAAAATACGTGGGTAACACTTCATTTCCGACGGATTACAGACGGACAATAATCCGTCGGAAAATTGCTCATCTGAAACATTTACTGACGGATTATAATCTATGGGTAACTTTTCGACAGAATTACCCACGAATTATCCATGGGTAATTTACCCACGGATTTTATCCATGGGTATTGTTGATAATATTTTTAAAAAATTATTTTGAAATTATATTAAATAACATCCTTATTTAGTGCATCCATCTCTCATATCTGACCTTTCAGCAGCTCTACTCCATGACACTTCATGCAACTCCTCGTTGAAGGAACCCTTCACCAATCGGAGCTCTCCATGGGTAACCCTTTTTGAGATATTCGTATGCTTTTAGGATCAAAGATTGACCCCACAAATCCCACGAATTAACACAAGACTTTTCAGCGTGCCTTGTTGTCACTTGCACATTTTTCTGGAAAACTTCCCAAAATGTCACCCATCCCTAAATTATCCCATGTCAAGCACGCTTAACTGTGAAGTTCTTAAGGAATAAACTACCAAAGAGTAGATGCATCTCATTGGTATAAATAGTACAAATTAATTCCTTTAACTCATCTTCAACTATATAATCTCATACTTGTACAATCTTTGGATCCCTCTCATTCCAGTATATTTCACAAATTACAATATAATATAATTTTATAATTTTTATCTAAATTAAAAAATATTAATATTTTAGTTTGTGTAATAAATATCATAGTTAAATCAATAAATCATATTTAAAATTTGTATAAATATATATTAAATAAAAATTAGTAACTAATCAAAGAATAATTAACTTCTATATATATAACACAAATGTCTTTATTGTATCATAGCGTTTTTAGAGACTTTTCTTTAACTATAAGAATTTTATATATTTTTAAATTTTGTTTATCTAATTTAGTTTTTATTTATCATTATTACTTATAAATTAATTTTATTATTTTTAACATAAATTATTAATAAAAAACAATTACCCACGGACACATCCGTGGATAATTTCGTGGGTAATTATCTAATTTAATTTTTATTTATCATAATTACTTATAAATTAATTTTATTATTTTAACATAAATTATTAATAAAAAATAATTACCCGTGGATTTATCTGTCAGCAATTACCCACAGATAAATTCGTGGGTAATTATCTAATTTAATTTTTATTTATCATAAAATTATTAATAAAAAAATAATTACTCACAAATTTATCCGTTAGTAATTTCTTGGGTAATTATCTAATTTAATTTTTATTTATCATAATTACTTATAAATTAATTTTATTATTTTTAAATTAAGTTATTAATAAAAAATAATTACCCATAGATTTGTCTGTGAGTAATTACTCACATATTTATCCGTCGGTAATTATCTAATTTGATTTTTATTTATCATAATTACTTATAAATTAATTTTATTATTTTTAAAATAAACTATTAATAAAAAGTAATTACCCACGGATACATCTAGGGATGACAAATAAACTCATAACCGTGGGTAATACTCGAACCCGCCCGACTTTGACGGGGAATACCCGGTTAGACCAGGTACGGGTAGGGTAAAACTCGATAAATTAAACCAGGTACGAGTACGGGTATGTGTATATACATACCCTCCCCGTACCCGTACCCATACCCGTACCCGATTTAATTATATTAAAAAAAATTAATATTTTATTATGTGTAATTATTTATTATAATGTGAAATATTTATAGTTGTGTAATTATTAAGAAATCTCTTGATTAAAATATGAGATAAAGAAATAATCTAATTATAATTATAATATAATAGAAAAATAATTTAAAAATATTATATATTTTTTTTGTAAAAAAAATAATTTTTTTCGAGTACGGGTATGGGTACGAGTATACCCGATACCCGACGGGGACAAGGATGGGGATGAAAATCACATACCCGACGAGTACGGGTACGGGTACGGGGATGAGTTTGTGTCGCGGGAACGAGGACGGGTATCATAAAATCCATATCCGACCCGCCCCGTTGCCATCCCTAGATACATCCATGGATAATTTCGTGAGTAATTATCTAATTTAATTTTTATTTATTATAATTACTTATGAATTAATTTTATTATTTTTAAAATAAATTATTAATAAAAAATAATTACCCACAGATACATCTTCGGTAATAACGTCGGTAATTTCGTGGGTATTGTTGATAATATTTTTAAAAAATCATTTTAAAATTATATTAAATAATAATCTTGTTTTATTAAAAACAATATAATTCAAAATTAGTAAAATTATTATAAATGTTAAGAAATTATCTTTTAATTTTAGACTATCATGCATCAATATATCATTTCACTAATTATGTATTTCTCAATATAAATAAAATTAACTATATAATATTAAAATATATTGATAGCAAATTATTATTTTATACTATCATTTAATTATAAATTTTATATATATAATAGTTGGTTTGGTAAATTAATTAGCATGAGAAAATTAGTTAAGTATTTAAGAATTTAATTTGTTAATCTTTTATCATTAAATTTTTTAAAGTTACCGACGAATTTTTTTTCCATTTTTGATGAACAATATTTTAGACAGATAATCTGTGAAAAATATTTGTCTGAAACATCATAAATTTCCCACGGAAAAAATCCGTAGGTAATATCCATCTGAAATTTCAGACAAAAAAAATCTGTGGGTAATATCTGTCAGAATCAATTATTTTTCAGACGAATATTTATCCGTGAGAAAAAGTTCATCGATAATAAGTGTTTTTTTTGTAGTGTGTCTAAAGTTTTAGGTTATGTTATGGTGTCAAGCACACTTGTGTGACTTACTCACTACCCATTGTGTGAAGTGCTCCCTATTGTAGAAACTCCCCAATAGTGGTATTAGAGTCAATGGTTTGACGAAGTGACTGGTGATCGGCTTAGATGAGTATCGATCAATAGAATTGGTAATGGATGGATCCAAGAGAAGGATCCCGAATGGAATTGGTAGGAGATCCAAGAGTGGGATCATCCCTTGTTCTAAAAGTCTCCCTAGAGGTGTGGAGGACGTGTGTCGTTGAAGTGCAACGGCAGTGCAAGTAAGACCACCATTGAATACTCGTGGACGAAATAAAGGCTTCCGCTTAAGGAGGAGTGTGACCATGTGGAAGGGGTTCACACTTGAAGGAGAGTGTTGGAGTTCAAGTGTGAAGTGAAGTCCCACATTGGTTAGAGTTAGGCATGTTGAGTAACATATAAGTTAAAAGGACCCACCTACCTAATGCCTTAATGTTTTAGGTTATGTTGTGGTGTCAAGCTCACTTGTGTGACTTACTCACTACTCGTTGAAGGAAATGGAAGAGAATAGGTGAAAATTAATTTGATAAGAAATAGGTAGAAAATGATATGAAATTTATAATTGTTTGGTAGAATGGAATTAGGTAAGAAATTGAGAAAAATTGATATTTTTAATTTTTTATATATATAATTAGATTTTATGTAAAAATATAGTGTTTAAATAATTACATTTTTACCCTTTACCAATTAGTTATTTGGACAATAATGTAGGATTAGTTTTGACAAATTTTTTTTTTTTTTTGTGAAAAATTTCACACAAATTCACTCATAGGAGAGTGAGATTTAATTTACATGGACTCCACCGTAATTTTCTCAAATATTCATTTAATCATCTCTTTCAAACACACATGTTTTTTAATTCTTGGATAATCTCTCATTTTCCTCTCCTTTTCTACTAAATTACCTTTCCCAAACACACTATAAGTTAAGACATCATATTAACAAGTCTTTTAACGTATATTTGATTCAATATAGTTATCTCTATTTAATATGAGATTGTCATTTATACTAACATATCACCCAAAATTATAATAAATATTTAATCAAATCAATTAAAATTCTTCAATTATATAACAATAAATAAAATAATCCCATATCGATATAGGAAAAAAAACTATTGATATTTATTTAAATTTCCATTAAACTTAAAGCCATTCATACATATATAAATACTTGCATGCACATGAGCCAGCTAGCTTATCCGTAACTCAACAAACTTGTTTGGGACTCGATGTGACTATTGAAACAAAATATCAACTCACCAAAACACATAATAACAACTTACCAAAATCACAATAGAAAACTATAATGATCAGAAACTAATGAATTATGGGGAATAATGAAAGTATAGGTCAAGTTGAACATGTGTGTTATAGATCTTTAAACTATTTTACGCAATGACTTCCAAATTTGGGAACAATTCTCGAATTGATCTTCAAGCATTTCATATAAAGGGAATTGTGTCAACCCAAATATAGAAACGATGACAAAGGCCAAACTGTATGCTAAAGTTGTTGACTTCTTGTTCCCCTCCAATCGAATGGTGAGCAATATGGTGGCAGCAAATGCTAGCATTGTGGTGATGAGTGAGAAAAATAGCATCATAAATCCCAACTTCAACTTTCGAGGCAAGGACTTGTGAAATTCCCACAATTCAAATGAAGAAGTGAGTATAGAAAGAAACATGACCACCGAACCCAATGAGGTGGCAAGAGCCACAACATCCATGATGGTGAAAATTCTGAATGCAGAAGAGTTACTTAACACAGGTCTTCCTCCTTCAGTCCCTCCTGGGATGGCATATGCAGCTGCAAAGACAACACCAGCAATTAGCACTGCTACAGTGGAACATGATTGAGATGTTTCCTTCATCCATTGCTTTGCCTCATTATGCATATCTGCATGATCTATGTCCAAAAGACCTCCTGGTGTTAAACCATCTTTGTCGGTATGCATCAAGTATTGTCTCGGAACAATTTCACTAACTCGCTGCAATAACAAAAAAAGATAAAAATAAAAATCGATGAATTACATAATATTAGTATTATTAGGTTTATCGTAAGTTGAACACGGTGAGTTGGTATATTAGTTAGATATCTTGTACTCACATATTATGATAAAGATGATCTATTAAACAAAAATATTTCTTATTCAATCTCTGATGTGTCGATGTTTGCAAAATCCTTTAAATTAGTGATAGTCACAATATAACAAATGGAACTAATCTTTAATCTAATGAGTTAGAGATAATCATGTCATGATAAAAAAATACAAAACAAAGGTTTACTCTATGCTAGGTAAAGTGTTTATTTTTTTATTAATCAACAATTAATCCCAAATGTTTAAGTTATTAAACTTCAAAAAAAAAAAAAACTTCATGAATGACTTTATATTAAAATTCTAATAAGATATTTTCTACGTATGAGCCATTTGAGATTATTTTCATCAATAAAATTAAGACTACAATTATTCTTATCGAATAAAGTCCTTCTAATTATTTACAACAACTACATATATTTAGATAGTTAAAACTCAAACTCAAGACTCAATTAAGTTAAAACAACTCTGAGAAGTTGATCATGTGATCATTGATTGAGTCATTTGATTTTGAACTTACCTTCTATTGTAGTAACAAAGGTAATGATTTTTAGGCCTCCTATTTCTTTTTTATTTCTATATTTTTGTTAACATCATATCACGTATCATAAATATATTTTTCTCACTTTTATTATGGCTCTCTCAAGATATCATATAACATTTGGTTGTAACAATAATTATTAAAACATGAATAATTTATACATCTCTAACACTTACATGATACCATTGTAGCTCACGTTGCAGTTGGTATGCCACACCAGCCACGCTTTGTTCTCTATAGTAGTCCATGCTTGCAGCTTGGTGCAAGATAGTACGTTTATCTTTACTTATCCGTGTTATCAATGACTCATACGCTGGAATTTTCACTATGTATTCATATATTTTTAACTGACGGTGCTTCACTGCCACATGCAGTACGTTGAGGCCATCATCGTTAACATAAGAAATAGCTTCAGGATACCTTTCAACTATTCGCTTCACCACTTCTACAATCCCTGACGCTGCACCCAAGAAAAGTGGCGTTTCCCACATTGCTAAAGTGTTCTTAGCTAAATTTAAACTCTTATCTCTACTTTCTTTGAGTGATTCTTTTACTCTCTCCTCCATCTCAACCCTATCTTTCAACTCAATGTCCTCTTTCCTTTTTGTGACGTTAGAAGGAAACCTCATTGAAAACCCTATTGGCTCATTAGGGGGTACCAAGACACACTGCTTCCACGAGTCATCACTATCCAATAGTAATTCAAGTAATTGCTCTGCGAACTTGTGGCTCTTCTTTTTATTCCAAATATTTTCAATATAAATGTACCCTGCATGCATATGTTAATCATTTATTAAATTAACAATTGCCATACGAATTAACCTTGAAATTTAAAAGGGAAGGTGGAAAATTAGTTTAACTAATTGTATAGCTAGAATTATTAACACAAGGTTTATAAACCTTTTGCACGTTTCCAGAAAGCATAGTTGACTCGTGATAGAATGATCCCAATTTCTGCAATCAACTCAGTTAATTAGTACATGGAATTCTTTTATTTGATGTATTTATTTGTATGAATATTTGTAACCAACTTCTAAAGCTAGTAGTTTGTAATACTATACAAAGAAATTTATATTCAAACTCTATCATTGTAATTTCTATAAATAAAAAATAATATAGGTGTACCAACTTGACTGAGTTAATGAGCTCTGTCAAGGATAGAAGATATCGGCACCTTAGGCAACATTGGTACACCACATCGACTAAGTAAGGCTACGTCACCCAAAAACCTAGTCAACAAATATAAGGTATGGTTATGATGTCCATACCACGAAGATTGTAACACCCGCAAATAAGATAATCTCGTATCAAGAAAGGTACATGCATTATAAATAAATGATATCTCCATTATCAAATACTAACTTAAGCATTAGATTATCTTTTGTAGGTACTCCCCTTATCGGAAGA